CGTTGGAAGACGAGAAGAGGATGGAATGGAAATTAGCGGTGATGCGGGAGAAGAAGAGGAGAATTGACAAGGCAGCGGAGGCGGCAGAGGCCTTAGWGGAAGTGAAGAATATAGAGGCGCAATTAGCCRCCCAGCCCGATCTCCCGAATCAGATGCGAGTCATAGCTCGAAGCGTCGCATGCCTGGCACGGGTTCAGGCAGACCAATATGACTTTAGCAGAAGCCAGGACATAGCTGTGCGCTCGATACGGTTGGGCTTTCGAGACTTTGCCTGTGAGCTGGTAGGCGCCGTTGGAGTCAAGGTGGGTCACCGCCTCGACAAGACTGAGCGGTTCTGCACCGGTGCCATTGAAGGCGTCAAGGCGGCAGCTCCCAAGGAGGAGGAAGCACGTCTTCCTCGCCAGGAGCCTGTCAAAGTCAAGTTCCCCGATTCCTACAGCGGGAAGAGGGAGGAAAACTTTGACAATTGGGAGGCCAACGTTAAGACCTATGTGCACTTGCAACAGGTCTCCCTAGATCAGCAAGTCYTAATTGCTATCCACGCACTGAGAGATGAAGCCGCCAGTTTTGCAAGGTCCCTAGTTCGCGCTGCCAACTGTAGTGATGATCCCGTTGCGTACTCCTCATTTACGTCCCCAACCGAATTTCTGAAGTTGCTGCGCGAGCGATTTGCTGATGTCGCTCGCGGTGTCAAGGCCTCAGACAAGCTCCAAACCATCCATTCTCGTAAATGGAAGAGTGCCAGGGCACTCAAGGGTACAATGGATGAGTTGGTGGCCGTCCCTAACCATGGGGTCACRGAGGGCCAGTTGGTCAACCTCTTTTACCGGGCTATGCCCAAAGCCTTTCGAGGGCAGTTCTTCGCGAAAAGCGAAGACCCTGCCACCACTTACGATTCTCTTAGTCGTGAGGTGGTGGTTTTTGAAGCAAAGTCAGTATCCCTGTCTACCTTCTGGCACAAAGACTTGGACAGGGGTAAGCAATGGAAAGACCGCACTATCTCAGGGCAGGTAAAGACCAAGGATAGCCTTGTCCTGACTTTAGATGAGGGTAGTGTGGATGAGATTCCCTACGACCAGATTGAGTGGGGATTAGAGGAGGCGGACAGCGGTGTGGGCCAAGGGAGATCTTACGCTGCTGTCGCGGCTGGAGGGAGGCCGCAAGGAGGAAGAGGCCAGGGCCAAGGGGGCCGGGCCTCAGGGAGTCGATTTCAGGGCGATCAGGGGGTTGGCGGTAGGGGAGGAAACCGCCAAGCGGGAGGCAGGGGTCAAGGTCCCCCGCAAAACCGTCCTTGGAGGAGGGCTCCCTATAGAATAGGAGGATGGCACCCAGGGCTACCTCAGGGTAGGCCTTGGGAATCTTTGGGTCTGGACCAGGCTTTATGACAACAACGATTGGACCGGGGCCAGTGCATTTTCTGCGGTGACCCGGGCCATATCATCAAATATTGTCCTAAGTATAGAG